ATTTGTTTTCTCTGATTTGTGGTAACTAACATAAACCAAAGGAACATGATGTATATGAGCAAAACTGACATTCTGAGATTTGATTATTATTTATAGCCCTTGTCTATACTCTGGAGGAATGGTTTTTCTACTTACTACTTGTTGAATTCTTCATAATCACAAGCTTAACCCTCCACTAAATAAAGTAAATTTAAAGTATTCATGTAAAATTTAAAAGAAAAAAAGGAAGGAGGAGCAGGGTGGGAGTGAGGGAGAGAGGAGGGTGTAGTGGGAAGTATCGTTATGTTCTTATAAGTGTGTATATGAAGTACATGAAATTTGTTCCCTTGATATAAATAAAATTTTTAAATGCTACATTATACAGAGAGAGAATGGGGAGGTAAAGAGAGAAATATCTCTTCCATCTGCAGTTTCATCCTCAAAATAGCCTCAGTAACCAGGGATGGGCCAGGCTGAAGCCAGCAGCCTGGAATTCCATTTGGGACTCCCATGTGGGTGTAAGTGGTCCAAGTTCGTGTGCCATCCTCTGCTGCCTTCAGAGTACATGCACAGGGGACTGGATTGCAAGTAGAGCAATTAGGACTTGAACTGGCACTCATATGGGATGCCAGCATGGGCAGCATCTTAACCTGCTCTGTCTCAATGATAGTCCTTCAAAATTAAAACAAGCAAACAGAAGAAAGCAACAAGGTACAAACAAGAGACGCATGAGAAAAATAATAATGATACAAATAATATAAATAATAGTAAAAGAACAGTAATAACACAAAGCACTGTCCCATAAAATTCCTCAGAGTTCCACTGCAGTCTCATGGGGTCATACTGCTGTTAACTCCATGGCCCCATTGGGGACACTGAGGCATGGAGAATAAATTAGTCACTCAGTACAGGGCACAGTCTGGAGCCAACCCAGAACCTTCAGCTGCACATTCCAGCTCCACTATGAAACACAGGAAAATGGGGCCCACGTCAGGGTGCTCTGCTTGGAGAATCCAGAATGCAGGTGCATCCATACAGCATGTGTGTACCCACAGCAACTGGTGCTAACTGTGCAGAAGGTGCAAGGAACTTTTACTCCACATACTTCTGGGCCATTTGCATTGGTCACAATGAGGCCACAGCCATTTGATATTTAAGCCATTAAAAAAAAACCGGCCAGCGCCGTGGCTCAATAGGCTAATCCTCCGCCTTGCAGTGCCAGTACACTGGGTTCTAGTCCCGGTCGGGGTGCCAGATTATATCCCGGTTGCCTCTCTTCCAGGCCAGCTCTCTGCTATGGCCTGGGAGTACAGTGGAGGATGGCCCAGGTCCTTGGGCCCTGCACCTGCATGGGAGACCAGGAGAAGCACCTGGCTCCTGGCTTTGGATCAGTGCGATGTACCGGCTGCAGTTGCCATTGGGGGTGAACCAACAGCAAAAAGGAAGACCTTTTTCTCTGTCTCTCACTGTCCACTCTGCCTGTGGAAAAAAAAAAAGGGAAGACATTATCTACAAATAGTTCCAAAAGCATTTTCTAAAGAGCTACTATGAATAAATAAATTATTTTAGCAAGACCATGATGGGTAGAAGGGTAATGTAAAAATATCAATTGCAGGGCCAGCACTATGGCCCATCAGGTAAAACCACCACCTGCAGTGCTGGCACCCAACATGGGCACCAGCTCGAGTACTGGATGCTCCACTTCTGATCCTATTCTCTGCTATGGCCTGGGAAAGCAGTGGAAGATGGCCCAAGTTCTTGGGCCCCTGCACCTCCCTCTAACACCCAGAAGAAACTCCTGGTTCCTGTTTTCTGATTGGCTCAGCTGTGGCCACTGCAGCCATCTGGAGAGTGAACCTGGAAGACCTCTGGAAGACTCTATTTGTCTCTGTCTCTTTCCCTCTGCCTCTACCTTTAGCTCTGCCTTTCAAATAAATAAAATATCTAAAAAAACAATTACTTATTAGAAAATCAATTGTATACTACCATCAGTGCACAGGTAGATACTGATATAAAAATTAAAATAGCATAAAAAATGAAAACTCGTAACTCTATGAATAAAATAGAAAATATATTGGCTGAAGATTAAAATGCTGATGATGGAAACTAAAGAAGATCTAAGTAAATACACTGTGTATAGGATCGGAAGGTTGAATATTATTAAGATACCACATCTTGTAAAATGGTTCTATAGGTTTATGATAATCTAAATAAAAATTCCAGCAAGAAGTTTTTGAGAAAAAAACAAACCTGACTGTAATCAGGAAAACCCAAGACAATTGACTATCATGACGATGAAAAACAAGAAACTGGGTGAAATCACAATACTGCGTCTCAAGACTTACAAAGAACAGAAGATACACATTTCAATGGATTATGATTGTGAGTCCAAAAATAAGCCTCATGCCAAAATACATAAACACCAATTGTTAAAACTACAAAGAGAAATAAACGAATGCACTATTACACTCACAGACGTCAAGACATCTCTTTGGTTAGCAGATCAGCAGTTAGACAATCAGTAAGGATGTAGCTGAACAGAAAAGCACCTAAATCAACCATGTGCCAAACGGATCCTTAGAGGATGCTCTGTTCACAGCAACAGAACACGACACACTTCTCAGACCCACATGGCACATCCACTCTGACCATGTTTGTAGGTGTAGAGCAGACCTCAACTCCTAAGAAAGAGGTGCCACACAATGTAAGCTCTCAGATCACAATGCAACTACCTGAGAAGTCAGTACAAAAAAGATGGAAAATATCAAAAACTTGGAGAAAAATAAACAAACCTCAAAATAACACGTTTATAGATCTCAAATAAAAATATTTCAAACTAAATTGAAACTGTATCCTGCCAATTTATATTAATGGATGCATATTTTAGAAAAGAAGAACCAAGATCAGTGAGCTACGCTTTCACCCTAGGAAGTCAGAGGAAGAAAAGCAACTTAACCACTTAAAGCAAGGTGAAGAAAACAAATCATGAAAGTTAGAAGTACTAGTTAGTGGGACTGAAAAAAGTACAACTGTAGAAAAAGATCAACAAAACTAAAATTTGGTTCTTTGAAAACATCAACAAAATTCGTGAACTTCTTATCAGGACCAGCCAAGAAAAAAAGGTGCAAATTACCAATATTATTAATGAAACGGTGACACCATGACCCCATGATCAAGATAATGTAAAGGAATAGTATGAACAACTCTGTGACCAAAAATTTCCTAAGATAAATGAACTGTGTGAATTCCTTGAAAAGTAGAATATGCCAATATTCTCACAAAGAGAAACAAAAAACTTGAATGCTTCCATAATTACTAAATGTTATAATTTATAATAACTATAGAAACATAATTATAAAGTATAATGAAAATTATTAAATATATATTAGTGATTAAATTCACATATCCTGTTTTTGCTCAGCTAAAAAGAAACCTTAGGCAGAAAAGTACTTACAGGGACCTGCCTTGTGGCATGGCAGGTTATGACACTGCCTGGAACAATGTCATTCCATATAGACGCCAACTGGATTCCTGCCTGTTATACATTTTTTTTTAAAGATTTATATATTCATTTAAAAAGTAGAGTTACAGAGAGCCAGAGGGAAAGAGAAAAGTCTTCCATCCGCAGGTCCACTCCCTAAATGGATGCAACAGCCAGAGCTAAGCTGATTTGAAACCAGGAGCCAGGAGCTTCCTCCAGGACTCGTACACAGGTGCAGGGGCCCAAAAGGACTTGGGCCAGCTTCTACTGCTTTGCCAGGCCCTAGCAGAGAGCTGGAACGGAAGTGGAGCAGCTGGGACTTGAACCGACACCCATAAGGGATGCCGGTACTGGAGGCGGCGGCTTCATCTGCTCCGAACCCCCCTCCTTCCCCTTTGTTCCACTTGTGATCCAGTTGTCTGCTAACATGCCAGGGAAAGCAGAGGAAGCGGCCCAAGGGCTTGGGGACGTGAACTCACACTGGAGTACTGGATAAAGTCCCTGGCTTCTGCTTTGGCCTGGCCCAGCTCTGGCCATTGTAGCCACCTGTGGAGTGAACTCATACATTGAAGATCTCTCCCGCACCGCCTCATGTATAACTCTGCCTTTCAAACCAAATTTAACAGAGAAAGAAAGAAAGAAAAAAAAAAAAGAACTAGTACTATTCAGTGTCAGAAGCCTGGGCAGGCTGGAACAGAGCACAGAGCGATTCTTGGGGTTTGTCTTATGTTTCTGCTTTCCCCTCCGTGTGTGCAGTCTGTGAAAATTCACCAGATTGTGTGCAAATTAATTCAAACGCTCAGTGACCATTTTCCTGCACACACACCTTACACTTCCGAACAACCCGGATAAGGGAGGCCGTCAAGGCCTCTTCTCACTGACGCTGCCAAGGCTACTTCCGGCCAGGGACCAAAAACCCCAAAACGGAACCGGGGCTGCGGGATAAGTTCCTCTCCCAACCTCCCGTCCCCCCCCCCACCCCCCGCCACCCACCTGGACTCCTGTCACTTTCCGCTCCCCCACGCGCGTTTCTTCCCCTCCCTTCCTCGCCTCCCCACCTTCCCGCCCCCTTTTCGTTCTCCCCCTTGGCCCCCTCTCTCCTCCTCCCGTCCCCGCGCCCCCTCACACACACACACACCCTCCCCGCTTTGTGCACCCGGGGCCCCGCCTACCTTGTGACAGGATCGCCACTGCACTGAACACCGGCAGAGAGAACGTTTCTGCTCCTTAGGGACAGAAGTTGAATCCTGAGGTGTAGACTTCCACAGGGGCCAAAGAAGAGGACCGCGTCCAGAAATTTCCACAAGCCCAAGGGAACAAAACCGCCGCCTCCCGCCGCAGCCTCTCCTGATCCCGGCCTGACCCTGGGGGCGCTGGGTCTCCCCCAGGCTTGGCCTGCAGCGTCGGACAGCAGCATGGAGGACAGCTCCTCAGGGCTTGCGCAGGCTCTGGGCAGGTGAGAACGCGGCGCGGACTCCCACCTGAGCACCGCGGGGCAGAAGAGGCCGCCCGTGCGGTTGCACTTCCGGGTCACAGCGCTGGCGCAGGCGCACTCCTCATGGGTGGCCGCCATGGCGCCGCTGGACGCATATGCACGTTGCCTCATCCAGCATCGATGCTGCAGGGCCGCTTCCAGTCCTGCATCTCCAGGCTGTGACTCAGGGACGCAGCCACTGTTAGCCCAGGTACTCTGGACCCTTCCCCCTTATGTTGTGGGAATCCTGACTGGAGCTCCTGCTTCCTGGCTTCTGCCTGGCTCAGGCTAGCCATCGAATCCGTTTGGGCAGAGAAGCAGTGCACGGGGCATCTTGAGCATTCTTCCTCTCTCTGAATCTAGGGGTTCACCCAACAGGTGGCTACAAAGGCCGGGGCTGGGCCAGGCCGAAGCAGAAGCCAGGAACTTTATTCAATACTCCATTGTGGGTTCAGGGGCCTAAGTCCTTGGGCTGACTCCCTCTGCTTTCCCAGGCATGAGCTTCAGACTGGCCCAATTCTGTCTGTGGCAGGAATTCCTAAGGCAAACCATGCACACAAGATTTCTTTATCTGTCTTTGTTTCTTTGTCTTTCAAATAAAATAAAAACAATAAATCTGTCAGAAAATATTTCAAAGAAAAAGGAAAAGTGACTGGGATTGAGACAGGTGAATGTTTAAATGTGCTCTTCATTTCATAATCTTGCCTTCTCAGGTCCTAGAAAAGTTATTCATTAGTATCCAGGAATTTATTAATAGGAAAGATAAGCAGTTTTCTTGGAAATTATAGATGCTTGTTTTTTCATAAATCACTACCTCAATAAGGAATGCCAGCTGGGGTTCAAGACCAACTGGACACTTGCTGTTTTTTTTTTTTTTTACATGTTTGTTTGTTTTCACACTCTTGAAAGGCAGAGTGACAGAAAATGTGAGAACAAGGCAGAAAAAAATCAGAGAGAGAAGGAGAGAGGGAGAAAGAGAAACTTCGGTTCAATGATTCACTCTCCAAAGTCCCACAATAGCCAGAATTGGGCCAAAGTACAGTCAGGATCTTAGAAAATCCACCTGGGTGTTCTTTGGGGGCAGCAGAAGTCAAAGCACCTGGGCCATTAGCCCTAGACTCCTGGGATTAATTAGTGGGAAGCTGGATTAGAAGCAGAGGTGGAGCTTGATCCCAGGTAGTCCAACATGGTGTCCCAAGCACTTGGTTAATTTGCTGTATCACTATGTCTGCCCCAAACTCTTGTTATTTTCAACCTTTAGGCAGATACTAGATAACTGTAGTGTGTGTATTTATTTTAACAATAACAAACTGAATATGAACCAGTCTTGTTCTAGATGTCTCTTCTTGGTGTCTTGAATTTTCTTTTTGATTATAAATAAAATAATTCTTTAATAAAGTAAGAAGGCACCCCTAATGTGGAGCAGTTCCAAAAACAACAGATCACGAAGTTGGTCTATGAATTTCCTCAGAGGAATATACACACAAAATGGATTTTACTCTGGTTAATTCTTCAGTTGCAGATGGAGTAGGTGCTGTCCGTGCTTTCTTAAAAAAAAAAAAAAGACGTATTAACAAACCTCAGATGTTGTTTCTAGCAACTCCATCATTATCATAGGGTTCTTTCTGTGTCCAACCAGGAATATTTCCAGTGGTCTCATGTTCCTGACTTTGACTGTGGGTTGAACTGCTCAGCTGAAACTTCTGAGAAGTCAATGGCTGGAATTTCAGGTAGTTGCCACAACTTAATAGCACCATCACTCTAGATACTTTCAAAATTCAATCCTAGCTCTATGAGCATTTGATCCAATTTCCTAGAGAAAGAATATGCTGATCTCATAAACTTTTACTATATATAATTTATTGTTTTATCCTGAGACCCTCTTGGTTGTCTCTTTTTCTAATGATCATTTAGTTCCCTTTATTTAAGAGATCTCACTGGTCTAGAAATCCACAGTTCTCCCTTCAGTTTCAATAGCTGGGAGACAATTATATTTGTCATCACAAAATCATGCTACATTATGGGAGTGTTATTTAATAACATATCTGACATACTAATTCTTTTGTAAATACTGGTTAATTTTAATTTGACTACTTCATAATAACATCAAAGGAGGCACCTTGAATATTTCCAAGTCCATTTTAGGCAAGCTCCTTCTGGAAAATTTTCATGCTGTTAGCTAATCTCATCCCTAGTGATTTAATTATTAACAAAAAAGTATTATTTTTCTTAGATTTGCCTATTTCACCTTTTTCTGTAGTTCTCAGTGCCAGTTCTTACAATAAATCTACTGGGAGGCATAAAGTCTTATGTAGAATGAACTCAAGTACAGCATGGGGTACTTTTGCATGTTTGACTTTTAAAAATGAGAAAATAATTCATAAAATATATAGATAACATCCAATTCCATTTTACCACTTCTTTTATGTACCTGATTTAAATCCTTCATACTGCAGAGAAATAGATTAAGGTTATTCCAGCAAATATTATTTCCAGATATTTTTATAGTCTCATTATATTTTCAAAATAATTCCTGTACAAATGGCATGTTATAATTTTAGCTTCATTGCTTAACAAAAGTATTATGTGTAATGAATAAAAATAAACTAAAAAGTATGTTGGACCTAAAACATGAAATGTGAAGCTTACAAAATGTCTCAGTAATGAGTTCTAAAAAATTTTATAAGACAAGCACATGGTCAGATGATATTTGAAACAGTTATAGATTGCTGCTGTTGTCTATATATATATATCTGCCTCCTCTGAAACTGTTGTTGAAATTTAATCCCCATTATGAGATATTAAGAAATTGCACCAAGGTGGGACCTTCCGATGACTGGGTTAACCTATGCATATGAACGTTGGGTTAACAGATTATCTTGAGAACAGACTAGCGACAGAAGCTCCATAGTGACTGGTGCCCTCCACCTGCAAGATGATGTCTCCACCAGCAAGAAAGTCATCACCAGATGTGGCCTCTCAAACCTGGACCACTGTCACAAGTCAGGGTAAGTCTTTTTGCTGTGTACTTTGCCCAGTCTGTTGTATTGTGTTGTTAGCAACAGAAAATGCACTAAGACAAATGCCAATTCTGTTCATTTCATTCCCAATTTCCATATTATAAATCTGTTATTTTCTTATTTGGGCTGATGAGATATGAGTCTGGCATTGTCCAAGTCTGTGGGGGTGGTTTTATGAACCCAAATTCCAAATTTATAATTTATGATTGAAAACCAAATTCCAGGCTGGTCTTGTTGGGCAGTGGGTAAATCCACCACCTGTGGCATCCCATATAAGTGCTAGTTTGTGTCCCAGCTGTACCACTTCTGATATAGCTCCTATTAATGGCCTGGAAATATCAGTGGAAAATGGCCCAAGTATTTGGGCCCTTTCCACCCAAGTGGGAGGCCTAGATGAAGTTCATGGCTCCTGGCTTTGGCCTGGCCCAGACCTGTCCATTGTGACCATATGGGGAGTGAATCAGCAGATGAGATCTCTCTCTCTCTCTCACTCTCACTCTCATTCCAATTTTCAAAATAAATAAATCTTTAAAAAAGGAGAAACAGAATTCCACCTCCAACAGGAAAATAAAATATAATAAAAACATAACATGCAGAAGATAATATCAGATACAATGGGTCAGCACCTGATACCTACTACTGCTACCATCGTTCTGTAAGGAAGAGAGAGAATGGAATGAAACAAAAATGATACAAGTAAATGGCATGAACCTGAGTTTTTCTTACTCATCTATGCCAAATACAAACTTGGGATTCTAGGATCTTAAAATAAGTTTCAGAAATGACACGAAATCATTGCTTGTGTTGGAATTTAGGCACTGTTCCTTTGGTACTTTGAACATAATACCTCTCATGACAATTTACATTATAAATAACTGGGGAGGGAGAAGTGATTGTGTGGATAGTTAGGAAAAGATTGGTTTTAGTGATAGGTAAAAAAAGCAAGGTAAGCAAAGTGAGCATTTGAATCTGTCCTACAACCAAAAAGATGCCTGTAACACAGCTTCAACTACCAGACAATCTGTGACATGGAAGGGGGCTTTTTCTGGGTCAAGGAGAGAGGCCATGGTTGAAAAATGACAATTGGAAAATAGAACAACTCCATAGATGTAAATATGGAAAAGAATAAATCAATTTCTTTGACATTACGTGAAATATTACTTGCGATAATTTTGCTGCAATTATTCAGAGTGAGGTGAAAATCAATCTATAAATAAAGAAAATATATCAATGACCTACAAACAGAAATCATTACTCCTGATAAAGGCTTTTTCAATATAATTTAGTAGCAGACTAAATATCTCGATATAGGAAGTTCCTACATAGCTTCTTTATCTTTCATCATTGAAATTGCCAATATTTTAGAGTCAAGTGCCTTTTATTTAATTATCTTTTTTGGACAGGCAGAGTTAGAGAGAGAGAGAGAGAGAGAGAGAGAAAGGTCTTCCTTTTCCATTGGTTCACCCCCCAACTGGCCACTACTGCCGGTGCACTGCGCCAATCCGAAGCCAGGAGCCAGGTGCTTCCTCCTGGTCTCCTATGTGAGTGCAGTGCCCAAGCACTTGGGCCATGCTGCACTGCCTTCCCGGGCCACAGCAAATAGCTGGACTGGAAGAGGAGCAATCAGGACAGAATCTGGCACACCAACTAGGACTAGAACCCAGGGTGCCTGCGCCACAGGCAGAGGATTAGCCTAGTGAGCCGCAGTGCAAGCCTATTTACATATCTTTAGATAATAATTGTTTTAGAAAAATATTGTTATCAGTTTCAAACTGCTTAAGATAAAAGTTTGGATGATTGCTTACAGCTGGAACAAAATCTCTCTTTATAAGGAAAAATCACCTTCTCAATCCTTGAAAACCAAAATGTTTTCTTTTTCATTAGTATTTCAGTGTGCTTGTCAGTAATTATCTTTTCCAAACATATCAGATTCAACTTTGTCTTTAGAGCTGCTTACTCACATATTTCACATTTTTTACTTGGATTTTCCAAAAAAGAAATCCTGACTCCTAAACCTTAATTGTGGAGAAGTCTGAGAGCTGTTATTTTTATGTTTAACTGTGCACAGGCTCATGGAATATGTGAAATAAAGCAAGCTCCCACATGCAGGGTGCTGTACAGGTCCCCAGATGGCCTTGGGTTGACACCAGTTCTTCATTTCTCACTTCAGCTTTCAAGAATAACCATTAATTTTGCTGAGAAAAAAGGAGATGGGGGAGGAAACTGGGACCATAGCTGCCTGCTTCTGTCCCAGTTCCCTTACAAACAGGTTGTCCTTCAACACTTCAAGTGCATGCTCACGTGGTCCTGGGGTTCTGGAGCTCTCAGGTGGGAAATACGCAGTGGAGGTCCTGTCATTCCCAGACAGCTGTCCTGAACCTCACTGGCCGGGCTTGCTCTCTGCCCTAGGTGCCTGTTGCCCCTTGCTGTTTATCCGTGAGTACTCCATCTGCTTTATGCAACTTGTGTGCATGAGATTTCTGTGCCAAAAGGCTCAGACATTGGTAACCAATGCACAGTGAGCCTGTCTTACACAAAGTCTGTTTTTTTTTTTTTTTTTAAAGATGTACATAGGGAAGCATAGCCCTGGAGAGCCTGATCATCTATGTGGACCCTGAGTGATCAGAAACATGAATTTCCCATTCTGCCAGTCCACTCTTTAGCCCTTCAGGATTTTCAAGTTGAGGTGTGCTTAACAACTTTACCAGATTCATCTAAGCACATGACATTGAACACAGGTATCTTGAAAGAATATGCCTAAAACATGTGGCTTACTTTGTGCCTGTGCACAGCACACACCAAGTCAGTTGTCCACAATCACAGTTTACATGTCTCTTAAATGATGCATTTAAGGTTGGAGAATTCTGGTTTAATTTAATTTATTTGAAAGGCAAAGAGATAGATGGGGGTGGGGGTAGTGAAGAGAAAGCTCCCATTATCTAGTTTACTCCCAGTGCTGGCAAAGGTCTGGATGAGCCAGGACCAAAGCCACAGGCAAGAAGTAAATCCAGGTCTCCCACACAGATGAAAGGAACCCAACTACTTGAGCTGTTACCTGGTGCTATCAGGGTCTGCTTTGGTAAATGGCTGGAATCAGCTATCAAATCCTGACTGGCAGATATGGAACTCTGGCACATAAACTGGCATTTCAATCCATGAGGGCAAATGCCCTCTCCAGGAAGGTTATTGTGAAGGAATCCAGGGGAGGATTTCATTTTTACTTTACATTATTTTGTTTAATAGCTTTTGACTATGACATTAATTTTGAAATTAAATCAAAGTAAACAAGAAAATGGAACAGTGTTTCTTGGAGCTATTTATGCTATATTCCTTGAAACTAGGAAGAGACAATTATTTTCCAATTCTTCATGCATAAGTTAATGACTTCAATTTATGCAAGTTCACCATTTATACTCAAACCAAAAGTTTGATGGTTATGCTGTATAACAAACAGCCGGTATAGAAGATTTACAGTCACATTTGTGGACTTGATTATTATTTTTTATTTTTATTTTTATTTTTATTTTTATTTTTATTTAATTTTTGACAGAGTGGACAGTGAGAGAGAGAAACAAAGAGAAAGGTCTTCCTTTTCCATTGGTTCACCCTCCAATGGCTGGCGCTCTGCTCTGATCCGAAGCCAGGAGCCAGGTGCCTCTCCTGGTCTCCCATGTGGATGCAGGGCCCAAGGACCTGGGCCATCCTCCACTGCACTCCTGGACCACAGCAGAGAGCTGGACATGAAGAGGGGCAACTGGGACAGAATCCGGCACCCCGACAGGGACTAGAACCCGGGGTGCCAGTGCTGCAGGTGAAGGATTAGCCTATTGAGCCACGGTGCCGGCAAGATTATTATTTTTTAAAAAATTAATTTGACCAACAACAGATGCTGGCGAGGATGTGGGGAAAAAGGGACACTAACCCACTGTTGGTGGGAATGCAAACTGGTCAAGCCACTATGGAAGTCAGTCTGGAGATTCCTCAGAAACCTGAAGATAACCCTACCATTCGACCCAGCCATCCCACTCCTTGGAATTTACCCAAAGGAGTTTAAATTGGCTAACAAAAAAGCGGTCTGCACCCTAATGTTTATTGCAGCTCAATTCACAATAGCTAAGACCTGGAACCAACCTAAATGCCCATCAACGGTAGACTGGATAAAGAAATTATGGGATATGTGCTCTTTAGAATACTATACCGCAGTAAGAAACAATGAAATCCAGTCATTTGCAACAAAATGGAGGAATCTGGAACACATCATGCTGAGTGAAATAAGCCAATCCCAAAGGGACAAATACCATATGTTCTCCCTGATCGGTGACAACTGACTGAACACCAAAAAGGAAACCTGTTGAAGTAAAATGGACACTATGGGAAATGGTGACTTGATCAGCATAGCCCTGACTGTTAATGAACAACTTAATACATTATCCCTCTTAGTAGTTTTTTTGTCTGTTCTACTTAATATGACTGGTTTAATTCTGAAATTAATACACAGTTATTCTTAAGTGTTGAAAATTAACTGAAATGTGATCCCTGTTAAACATAAGAGTGGGAATAAGAGAGGGAAGAGATGTACAATTTGGGACATGCTCAAGCTGACTTGCCCCAAATGGTAGAGTTAGAAACATACCAGGGGATTCCAATTCAATCCCATCAAGGTGGCATGTAAAATGCCATCTCACTATTGCAAGTGATCAATTTCAGTTCACAATTGATCATAATGAAAGGACTAAGAGTCAAAGGGAGCACATAAACAAGTCTAGTACCTGCTAACACTAACCGATAGAATAAATAAAGGGGAGAGTGATCCAACATGGGAAGTGAGATACTCAGCAGACTCATAGAATGGCGGATGTCCTAAATAGCACTCTGGCCTCAGAATCAGCCCTAAAGGCATTTGGATCTGGCTGGAAAGCCCATGAGAGTATTTCAGGTATGGAAAGCCAAGACACTCTGGCAAAAGATCTCTGTGAGTGAGATCCCAGTGGAAAGAACAGGTCTTCAAAGAAGGAGGTACCTTTCTCTGAAGGGAGGAGAGAACCTCCACTTTGACTATGACCTTGTCTAAACAAGATAAGAATCGGAGAACTCAGAGGGCTTCCATAGCTTTGGAAACTCATGACTGGTGCATAGGGAGATTACTGATGCCATAGACAGGAGTGTCAATTTGTAAAGTCAACAACAGGAGTCACTGTGCACTTACTCCTCATGTAGGATCTCTGTCCTTAATGTGCTGTGCATTGAGATTTAATGCTATAACGAGTACTCAAACAGTATATTTCACTTTGTGTTTCTATGGGGGTGCAAACTGTTGAAATCTTTACTTAATGCATACTAAACTGATCCTCTGTAAAAAAAAAAAAAAAAGAAATTATCAACTCCCAACTTGACTCTCACTGGGATTAAACATGACAATAGGTCTGATCTGATTTCATCATCATTTAAAAAAATCATCTATTATTTTTCACTTTATGTTTCTGTGTGGGAGCAAACTGTTGAAATCCTTACTTAATGTACACTAAGCTGATCTTCTGTATATTAAGATAATCGAAAATGAATCTTGATGTGAATGGAAGGGGAGAGGGAGTGGGAAAGGGGAGGGTTGTGGGTGGGAGGGACGGTATGGGGGGGAAGCCATTGTAATCCATAAATCGTACTTTGGAAATTTATATTCATTAAATAAAAGTTAAAAAAAAGAAATAAATATTTACTTACCAGAAAAAAAATTAATTTGAGTGAAAGATAAAGAGAGAGAATAAAAAACAGAGACTGACAGCAGAAAATTCACTGGTTTACTCCCCAAATTCTGGCAATGGCCAAGACTGGCCTAGCCACAAGCTGGGAGTTGAGAACTCTGTCCAGTTCTCCCTCATGAGTGGCCTGAATCCGGTCACTTGAACCATTGCCGTTGACTTGCAGGTCTGCATTATCAGGAAGTTGGAATCAGGAGCTGGAGTTGGAAATTGAACCTGGGCACTACTATGTAAGTCACGGGGGTCTTAACCATAAGGTAAAGGGTTACTCAGTTTTACAAACTTTCTCCCTAATATCTCTGAAGTTTTCTTAGGATTAGTCCATAACATGTACAACTTCTACCTCTCTAAGGACTTCATTTACATTTTTGCAGTTCACCAAAGTTTAGTTTACATCCAAACTTTCTTGGTTTGCATTGTAATGTGGTTTACTGAATTTATACAGTGGTAGATCCAGCATTGTAACTGAGGTATACATGTTCATCATTCCAAATGTTTTCTGTGTCACTTTACGATTAGCTCCATCACCTATTCCCATCACTAATCAAATCAGGGCTGGGCAATCACTGTCTAGGTTTCAGTTTCTGTATTTTTCCTCTTCTAGAATGTCCTGTGACTACACACTGCATAAGCATTTATGTCCACATTGACTTAACTGTTATGGATATGTGGGCCTGATGTTGCATATGCCAGTGATTTGTTGTTTTATTTGAGTTAATACTCAAAGTATGCATAGGCCACAATATCTTTTAGTACAAATCCAATTTGTTGAGTATTTGGGCTGTTTTAAAGTTGAGGGTTGCTCTGAATGAAGCTTGTAAGTATATCACCAGCTGTTCTGTGAACTTATGTCTTCTCATTTCCTGAGTTAATAACCAGAAGTAGTATCTCAGGGTCTTAAGGTATGTATTAATTAATAAGACACTGCAAAGGCTTTTTCTATAATGATTGCATTGCTTAGCATTTCAGCCAGCAATTTATGATATTTCTGCAAGTTCTGAATCCATGAGATCATATTAATCTTTCTGTTTTTTAAAATAATAGCTATTATGGTAGTATGTCATGATACCTTATTGTGATTTTTTAAAATTTATTTATTTATTTGAAAGAGTTACACAGAGAGAGAAGGAGAGGAAAAGGTTGGGGGAGGTTTTCCATCCACTGGTTCACTCCCCAATTGGCTGCCACAGCCAAAGCTGCGCCAGTCTGAAGCCAGGAGCCATTAGCTTCCTCTGGGTCTCCCACTAGGGCACAGGGAGTGTGGACTTGGACCATCTTCCACTGCTTTCTCAGGCCACAGCAGAGAGCTGGATTGGAAATGGAGCAGCCATATGGGATGCTCACACTGCAGGTGGTGGCTACACCCTGCTATGCCACAACTGGCCCCCTTATTGGGATTTTAATTAAGATGTTCAACAGGTATTTATATTCTTAGTTGTAAATCTTATCTTCTTTGATGAGTTACCTATTCACTGAGATATCTAATTTTTAATTGGATGATCTCTATGTTATAAATGATTTCCATTTATTGCAGATAAAAGTTCATTACAAACGTGTAATTGGGAATTGCATTTCTGTAATTCTGTGACATGCCTCTCTTAATCATGTTCAAGATGAACAAAAGCATTGAATTTTGACAATTTCATTTATTAGTGTGTGTTTCATTATTGATTCATTGTTCATGGATTTTCTGTCATATTGAAAAATAAACTATTCTCTAACACAATTGTAAAATTATTTTTCTTTCTTATTACTTCCTAAGGAAACTTTATAGTGTTTGGCTTTCCATTTAGGTCTGTCATCCATTTAATATTGGATATTATATACAGTCAAGATATGAGGTGAAGTTACTTTTATGTTAATTTTAATTGAACTAGCACGATTTGTTGAGAAGACTTCAATTAATTTATTTTGAAGAATTAGTACTTTTAACTTTGTAAAAATTAGCTGAATATGTATTGTGAGTCTACATCTGAAGTCTATTAAGTAGTTTCTATTAAAGTAGTTTTATTAATCCACATGTCTATTTTTTGGCAGTTCTATACTAACTTGATTATTTTAGTTTTAAAAGTTTATTAAAAGATGGTAGGCTAATATAGATTCTCTATATAATGATACACAACTTTAAATCAGCTTATCAATGTCTTCAAAAACTCTGCTGTTGGGGCTGGAGCTTTGGCATACCTGGTTAAGCTCAGACTAAAATGTTAGCATCCCATATGGGCACCAGTTCAAGACCCATGTGTTCCACTTCCTATCTGCCTCACTGCTAAGGAATCTGGGAAAGCAGTAGAAGATGGCTCAATTACTAGGGCCCCAAAATCCACATGGGAAACCCTGAAGAAGCTCCTGGCTTAGGCCTAGCCCAGCCCCAGCCATTGCACCATTTCGGGAGTGAACCAGCAGATGGAAGACTCTTTGTCTCTGTCTCTGTCTCTCCTTCTCTCTGTATATTTGCTTTTTGAATAAACAAAATTTTTTAAAAACCTGCTGTTGTTTTGATTGTGATTGCACTGAATATAGATATTTATTGAGAAAATTGCTTCTTTAACAATGTAGATTTTCAGCCTATAAACACAGGACCAGTATTTGTCTATCTGGGTATACTTTAATTACTTTCGTTAATCTTTTGTAATTTGATACATATGATTATTTCAAATATTTTCTTTGTTTTCACAACTAAGTTTATTAGTGCTATCATCAATGTTATTTTTCTATCACTTTTAAATTGTTATTGCCAATATTTGGATATACACTAGATATTTATATTGATCTTTTATCCTGAAAGCTGAATCAATTGACTTATTAATATTTATTGTTGTTTTTTATTTGAGAGTTTGTTTTTCTACCATTATTTCACTGACTAGATTTTTCAATAGAATGATGAATAGCAATGGTGAAAATGAACATCATTGCTTTTTTTGAGATGTTAGTGGAGAAGAGTTTGATTTTCCACTAGAAAGTGAATATAAACAGGCTTCTCTAGATCACCTTTATCAAACTGCAAATATTTCCTTCCAATCCTAGTTTAGTGAATGCTTTTATAATGTCCATGTATAAATTTTGTCGAGCTTTGCCTGTATCTGTT